ACTAACTCGGCCGAAAGATTGCCTGTACACTGTGGTTGCAATGTTTGGGGAATGCGTGTGCGTGCGATTCGCTGCGTGCGTGGATAAAACAAACGCCGTACTATTGTGGCGCCCACCCTCAGCACATGGCGCACGTTTTCTTCACAAGCGACTTAGCCCTTCTCCAAGGATGTGCCATTGGTGCCATGCCCATGCCTCCTCCTCCTCCTACGTCTCCACCTACGTCTCCACCCAAGTCTCCTCCTCCTCCTCCTCCTCCTCCTCCTCCTACTTCTCACTCTCTGGTCGCCACGGCTGGCTGCACCTCGTAAAAAAACTGCCAGAGTAGTCGTCGGCACGGGGGAACTGGCACTTCGGCGGGCCCTGGCCCCACCCCCGAGGGCAACCAGACCAATGACCGCACGACGCGCGCATGCACCGCAAGTTTGGGAACGCTCTCGGTCGTCTTTTTTTGTCTGTTGTTGTCGCCACATCCCCCGCGCCTTCGCTTGTCCCCTCCTCCTCCTCCTCCTCCTCCTCCTCCTCCTCCTCCTCCTCCTCCTCCTGTGTGGCCGCTTGACTGGGGAGAGGCAGCCAGCTGTATAGCCGAGAAGGGGGGAGGGCGGCTACGGCGGGTTCGTGTCGTGACGATCCCAGCGCTGGTCTCTGACCCCACGAGGATCATTCAAACGTGAACGATCGGCGATTTTTTCGATCGCCAACTCGTTCCAGCAGATTTGCTCATTTGAACAAATAAACAGCGTAAACATGAACGTTTGGCGCTCCGCGCGGATTTTTTGGATCCACGCCGGACCCCGTTCCTTGGCGCGCGGAGCGCGCCGCGCCAGGGGCGGCGCCGGAGGCGCCGCTGGGGGGGCCCCAGCGCGGATCCAAGAAACCCGCGCGGAGCGCCAAACGCTTATGTTGATGGCGTTTTTTCTCCATCGATCCTTCTGAACCAACAGGCAGCGCTCCACATCAGAAGCGGCCCTGGGACACACAAATAAATAGACACAAATAACAGGATTCCCTATATTTTCAGATATTTTCTGGGTTTTCGTCTGCCCCCACACTTCCCATATTTTCCAATATTTTCTGGGGAATCGACAATTAATTGTGTCTCTGTGTTTCTCTCCCTCCTGAGTTTTTTCTTCTTCGATTGTTCCGAACCCACCGGCAGCGTTCCACATCGACTGCCCGCAGCCGCGCTGGCACGACACGGCCCTGGCAGAAAAAGGGAGAGTCGGCCGGGCAGGACGCGGCGCGGCGCAGAGGCAACGACGAGGCGGGAGGCGGCACTCGATCACAGCATGCGTGCGCTGGCTTCCAAAGCCACCTTCCTCTACTGGAGGCCTCCGAGATGGGGTCCGACTAGGTGGGGTCGGAGGATCCCGCCGCATCGCCAATGCATCGCCGATGTATCGGCGAGGCACCGGCGATGTATCGGCGATGAGTCGGCGTTGCATCGGCTACGCCGGCGATGCATCCGCGACGAGCCGCATCGTGGATGCATCGGCGATGCGGCGCGATCCTCCGACCCCGTCCACTCCGACCCCATCTAGGAGGCCTAGAACCTCCTGTCGCTCTTGCAGGGGGCGCCTAAACTCTTCTTCGTCATGCCGCACCGCAAGTAGTGCGTACACCTGTCGGCGGCCCGTGCTGGACAGGTGGACGAGGGATACCCGGGGACGCCAGGATGTTAGCGAGTGAGCCAACACCCGCACTTGCGCTCTCGCGCGCAGCAAAACTGGACCCGCAAGACTGTGGCTCTCAAAACAACTCACGGTCACCCAACAGAACTAGCGTGTCTGAACACGCATCCGTATATACGGCTGGTGACCCACACAGGGGCCGCAACTGCAGGTCACGTGGCACGAGCTGCCTGGACGCGTCCAGCCTGCCTGCTGTGCAAAGGCCCTCTGCTCACCTGTCAGGCAATGGCTCGCAGGTCGCCAGGTGTGCACAGCTGCTGCACGCGCGAACTTTCCAGATCGAGGCTGTCATGGAAGCAAATTGTCCTGCGACGCGCTCATCTCATGTCACTGTGCCGCCGCGCTGGGCCGTGGCTGGAAAAGAGAGTATAAGCACGCTTGCTCTTCTCGTGCTTTGCTTTTCGGCAGCCGCATGGTATTCTGATAATTCCGGCCCCAAACGTCGAGGCCGACATGACCCCACCCAAGCACGCAAAGCTGATGCAAAGAAGACCTGCTGCCTCCAGACACGCTTCCCCTCGCACCCTTTCAGCCAAACGCTCATACACGAGCATCGTATTGCAGGTGCGCAAAAGAAAAACAACAAAACGCGCGCATGATCTCGATGAGCTGAGACGGGTCTCCGACTCCAGGGTACCTCGGCTGACGAATCAACAAAGAACCACTGGCAACATCCTTACCAGACTCAGCTTCCGTTAACTCCGCCTCCTCATGTTCTTCCCCACTCACAATTTGGGTATCACTTCACGCGCAACTTGTTTAGATCTCATCTATCATAGATGGTATGTGGCATACGTGTCCGTCCGTTGCAGCGCCATGCTACCACCATTGACCCTGATTCGTACGGTGTGGAATGATGCGCTGGGAGACACCACTGTCCTCCGCCCAGTCCTTCCCCTTCTCCTCACACTCCTCCTCCTCCTCCTCCTCCTCCAAGTCCTCTCAGGCTTTGCCCTCATGCTCCTTCTCCTCCTCCTCTTCAGCATCAGTATCAGCATCAGCATCAGCATCGTCAGCATCATCATCATCATCATCATCATCATCATCATCATCATCATCCTCATCATCCTCATCATCCTCATCATCCTCATCATCCTCATCATCATCATCATTATCATCATCATCCTCTTCATCATCCTCATCCTCCTCATCACAATCACAAGAATCATGATCATCAGCATCAGCATCATCATCAGTATCATCATCATACTCAGTGTCAGCATCATCAGCATCGTCTGCATCATCATCATCATCATCATGATCATCATCCTCCTCCTCCTCATCATCATCATCATCATCATCATCATCATCATCATCATCATCATCATCGGCATCATCATCAACATCATCATCTTCCTCCTCCTCATCATCATCATCATTATCACAGCCACCACCATACTAATGTTGGAACAATGGCAATGATGAACATACAAATGATTGTCATCGTAGTAAGATTATGACTAATACTACATAGATATGTTATAACATTACACCTGTGCAAAAAAAAACATCAACAACAACAGCAACATCTTCCGTCCTCTCCTCGTCTGGCGCAACGGTGGCAGAAGCAGCATGTCGCGGCTCTCTCTCTCTCTCTCTCCCTGGCACCAGCCAGCGAGGAGCAGGGGTTGACCAAAACATCCTCGCAGAAAAGGAGGACTAGGGAGCGATGGGAGAGGAGAAGGGGGAGAATGACGGCGAGAAGAGGGAGGAGGAAGAGGGAGGAGTAAGAAGGAAGAGGAAGAGGAAGGAGTAAGAGGGAAGAAGAAGAGGGAGGAGGGAGTACGAGGGAGGAGAAAGAGGAGGGGGGAGAGGCGCATGGAATATGGAGCTAAGGACAAAGGACAAAGGAAAAAGACGGATGGGAACGACTCCGAGCAAGCCAAGCCAGGAGATCCGCCTGTAGAGCATCTAGCTTCCTCCAATGCGAGCTAAGCGGTAGGAGGAGGAAGAGGAGACGGATACGGGGACCTCGAGTTTGAGAGGGAGCCAGGAGAGGATTCGAAACAAAACACAAGGAGGAGCTGCAGCGGGGAGAAAAGGATGATCCAAACGAAAACAACGGAAAAAGGAAGGAGAGGGCGGAGGCAGGGAGGAGGCGGAACAACGCACGCGGTAGCCCGAGCCCACCGGGCGCCCAAAGAGGGTGGAGGACCCTTCGCAGACCTCCGACGACCCGGCTTCTCCAGATGCCGCCCCTGGAACGCTCGATCCCCTCCCCGGGGCCGGCCCTACAAACCTGGCCGCCAGAGGCCTGGCCTCGTCCTCCTCCTCCTCCTCCTCCTCCTCCTCCTCCTCCTCCCCTTCCTCCTCCTCCTCCTCCTCCTCCTCCTCCTCCTCCTCCTCCTCCTCCTCCTCCTCCCCTCCTCCATCCTCCCCCCCTTCCTCCTCCTCCTCCTCCTCCTCCTCCCCCTCCTCCTCCTCCTCCTCCCCCTCCCCCTCCTCTCCTCCTCCTTCCCCTTCCCCTTCCCCTCCCCCTCCCCCTCACCTCCTCCCTCCTCCCCTCCTCCTCCTCCTCCTCCTCCTTTTCCTCCTCCTCCTCCTCCTCCTCCTCCTCCTCCTCCTCCTCCTCCCCACGGGGCGGCACGGGGGGGGGGGGGCGCTCAGGGAGATGGCGGGCGCTGCCCCTCCAGCTCGCCCCGAGGGCTCCTCTCTTCACTGGCGGCCTCAACCCTCAGGCGCCTCCGCCGCGCGCCCGCCCCCTCCGGCGCGGCCTGACCGACCCCTGGCAGACCATCCCCTTCCATGACGTCGTCCTCGCCCTTCCAGCTACCCTCCAGCCGCACACAGACGTTTTGAGGCGACGCGAGGGGGACGCCACAGAAAGGAAGGGTTTGCTAGGTGTCGGTCAGGCCGCCCCTGACCCCCCCTTCCCTTCCGACGGCGGCGACGGCGGCGGCGGCGGCGGCGACGACGACGGGAGGCAGAGGTCCGGTGGGCTGTGGGGCAACCAAGAGGTACCGATACCGCCACTCTCCAGATCTCAATCCTGGGGGGGCGGTCTGGCCAGGATTTCGGGGCGAACCCGTCGGTAGCGACGAGGGCCCCCCCCAGGAGGCCCCAAGGGGGGAACGCGGGCGAAGGATCGCGGTACAGAAATTAGGGGCTCGACCGCAAGAAACCTTGCACAAGAGCGACCTGAGACCCGAGGGCGCCCCTTGACTTTTGGCGTGGGAACGTCACGCCTGCCGTGACAAAACGATCGAAACCCAAACATCCCAGGGCACCCTGGAGGCAACCAGGGTGTTCTTGGCATGGGCCTCCACTGTATGGGTACCTTTTCCTCCTCTGAGACTGGCGGCGGGTCGCTCGATGGAGGCGGTCGCCAGGCAGCTCTCGCAACGGACGCCCGGGCGCAGCCACTGGGTCGGCCGGTTGAAGTAGCGCGCCTTCACGACAAAGGGGGCCTGCCGCCCGGCACTGCTCGTCGGGGCCCTCTCGCGCCCCGCCCCCTGCGCGCCCCCTCCTCCTCCTGCTCCTCCCTCCTCCTCCACCTCCTCCTCCTCTTCCTGCTGCTGCTGACACGATGAGGGGAATGATTCCGAATCGTCCACGACGAGAATTAGGAAGGAGAGGGTCACCCATTGGGGTCACCCCCCAGTACGCAGTCATACTGCAGCTCAGATTCGAAGAAGGGGCCCAGGGGGATATACAACCCCCGCGCAAATTCGGGCACCTCGGTATCAGGGACTCCGAGCAGGGTCCCCTCTGGCACTTCCTCGAGGAGCACACAGGCTAGGACGCGACACGAGTCAGGCGGGTACTCTTTGAGCCCCGTGGCACAAGTTCCAGTCCCCCCCCTCCGACGTCCGACCGCCGCCACGTGCCCTCCAGGGCGCTGACACTCCCCCCCCCCGCGCAAGCACCTGGCCAGCCGAGCCAGGCTCGGAGCGTGGACCCCGAGCAGGCGGGTGGGCTTCTGAAACTCACTGCCGAACATACACTGATCGATACACACCGAACTCGCACATGGTGAGAACGCAACCCACGCTAGTACAGGAAGCCACCAAGGCGCCGCCCCCCCTTCCTCCGAGGAAGCTCAGGATGCTCCAAGATACAAGGGGACTTAGCGCAAGCACATGCCACAAGCAAACGTACGGTGGTCATTTGCAGCTCATTGTCCACGACAGTTCGGCGCCTCTCAGCCGTGGCGAGGCGATAAATCCCCCGCAGCGCCTCGCTGGAGCGGCTATGCCTATGTCCCGAGTGCGCAGCTTGGGGAACACATCGCGCCGCGGCCCACGTCTCACTGGGGGGCCCGCGCAGAAACCCCGCAACAGTTCCCTGGATGATCAATCTCGACCAGTGCTTGATACTATCGTCATCTTGGTCTCGTCAATCACGACATCCACGGACAACGCCCCAAGGGGGCGAGTGAAGAAGGAATCAGAGACTCATGTCTGCAATCCAATGCCAGAGGTCCTTCGGGCAACGCTGACCAGAGAAGAGACGAATCACAAATGCGCATCCGAAACTGTCCCGCAGAACCGCCCCCGACAGAAGCGGCCCCCCGATCAAAATCGGCGGCAGGAGGAATGACGCCAGGGGAAAGGGGCCCAGGGAGGAAGCACGGCACAGGAACGCGAAACGCATGGGCAAGGGCCTTCTCCCCAGAAGCCCCCGCAGCCCGCAGCGAGCGGCTCAACTTCGCATCTTCCTCTGCGAGGTCCACGACCTCCGCGCGAGACAACGGGGCAAGCGAGATTCCTATTCAGATTCAGAAGCATGCGGGGACAGAGTCGAGCATGGGCGCGCGTCAGAACCTCGCACCCGGGGAAGCGACCGCCACTCGCGGGGGGAAGGCCCCGCGACAGCCTGGAAAAGGACGCACATCTCGCAGAAGAGTGCCCCGCGCATGACCCTGAGCGCGTGTCCTCCAGCACATCCAGGGCACAAGGGGTGGAGCAAGGGATCGGAAGAGCAGGCCGAGGACCCGCGGCAGGGGCCTGGACGGAAAGCGGAGACACGCCCAGACATGAGGAATCTCCTTACACACATGCAACACTTCATGCGCGATCCATGCCTGACTGGGTCACGCCCTGCCGCGCGCAGCCTGTCCATCCTAATCTGTAAGCGGGATGGGCAGGCGGGCGGGCCGCGGGGCGGCCTATTCGATCAGCAACACGTCGGGGGCTGGTGTGAACAACCCCCCATATGGGCGGCCGGGAGTCGGTCAATGACGGCGGACGCAACGCGATCGACAAAGTGAGTCAGCTCAACCTGCTCAGAGGTGGCCCCGCCTTCTCGGGCAGCCCATCCAGCAAAATAAACGGCGCACCAATTCAAGAAATGCTCATCACAATCGATCGCGTGCTGCGAACCCACAGGATGTGGATCCGACCAGGACCCCGATCACCTAGAGCATCCCAGATCCGAACCCAAAGATCAGCCGTATTGCGAATAGCTAACACCTGAGCTCGCGGCTGACGACAAGACTTCACCAATGGGATATCGTCTGAATAGCAAGTGGCATCACCAGCGGTATGAGAAATCAACATCGGAAAGTCGTACAACTCGGCGCGGGGGCTAGACTGCTCACGGGTGGGAAGAGTACCGCACAGTGCAGTATTCAGGCGCAGATCAAGGTCCTCAGCCATCCCAAGACGAACCATCGCCCATCCACGTCTACGTGGCCTTTTTATCACCCGCGTGGGGCCGTCCTGGACCATCAAAGCCCCGGTTACCACCATGAACTTCAGGGGGAGCACTATGAAGGCCCCAAGACCACACGAGCTCATGAGGAGGAGGAACATGCCCACGACTAGCACCCATACTCGGGAGCCCTTGCGCGTGGAAGGAACTGTGACGGTCTGCTTGCTCAGCTTCACTCACAAGGAATTCACTATCGCGCACCGCAGGATCGCACAGGCAGGAATTAGATGGGCAAAGCCACGTCGTATGCACAGAGGGGTCAACATCATCACCACATCCGAAACACGTCCCATCCGTGCAATAGCCTGCATCAAGCAATCTGGCCTCAGGCCAGCAAGCCCCGACCATGATGGTGGCCAAAAGCGCTGCGCCAGCATAATCTGCATCTTGAAACAGCTTCTTGTACTTCCGTCGAAAGACTGAAAACAAACAACTCCACTGTCGAGGCCTCGCCCGCAATAGTGCCGGGACGCAGTGGCCCAAACTACGGCAGAGCACCTCTCGCGAACACATGACTGGAGATGGTATCGAAAATCCGGTTCACTCATTCTGAGACGTGATCTGCCCTCAACGCTTCTCGTGGTTCCAGCCCGAGCATCAATAGGCCCACGACCATGCCTCCAACAGCTATACTGAGCTACTTTACCAAGCTTCTCATGCAACTGGTTTCAATAATGTCGAATACCATTCCTAAGACCGTCAGATAGACTAGACCACGCTTCCGAAAACAAAATTAGCTGTTCCACCCGGAGCCGACAAATAGGATCTTCACTAAAATCCTCAAGTACACTAAGGATGGCACGAAGCCGCCGAGGCACGAATCTGCCTGAGAGCCCCTGGGGGGAGTCCCAAGACTGCATGGCCTCAGGAACCCGCGGCCAGGACACCTGGTTTGAAAACTTTCCGAGAAGCACCACGATCTACAAAGATACGCAAGCTTCCGCCCACGACGAAATGAGATGTTCCTCCTCTGGTGAACTTTACATGCAGCACGTCTCTTGTTGACCGTGGTAATCGTACCAAGGTCGCTGACATCTCGAGTAAACTTGACATCGACACCAAGCCTGCGAAATTCGTCACAGCCGCCTCTCCAGCTCGGCGGACGAGGCAACTGCGCATGACTTGTTGCTGACGGTGGCGAGCGACGACGACGAGTCGGAGGAGGACAGTCAGGCGGAGCAGAGGGCCGACGAGCTGCAGGCTGCCATGCAGGCGGCCCTGCCTGAGGCGTGGGCGGCGATTGACACCAAAGGCGGCGGCGGCGTCAACGGCGGCGTCGGAGGCCGCGGAGGCCGCGGCGGCTTCAGCTGCGGCGGCCGCGGGGGCGCTTGGGGCGGTGTCGGCGGGGGCGGCGGAGGCCGTGGAGGCTGCGGAGCAGGGGGAGGTGGCCGCGGAGGCCCCGGAGGCGGCTGGGGCGGCGGCGGCGGCTGGGGCGGCGGACGCCCAGCCAGAGGCCGCGGGGGCGGCAGGAGGTCGCGACCGCCTTGCGCGGGCGCCCGGCGCGGCCTCGGCTGCCGCGCAAAAGGCCCGTGACGTCCGTAACGTCGACGACGTCGTCGTCGTCGTCCTCCTCCTCCTCCTCCTCCTCCTCCTCTTCCTCCTCCTCCTCCTCATGTTCCTACTCCTCCCCCTCCTCCTCTTCCTCGTCCTCGTCCTCCTCCTCCTCCCTCCTCCTCCTCCTCCTCCTCGTCCTCGTTTTACTCCTCCTTCTCCCCCTTGTCCTCCTCCTGCTCCTCTCCTCCTCCTCTCCTCCTCCTCCTCCTCCTCCTCCTCCTCCTCTCACCTCCTGCAGTATCCTTAGCGGGCGGGCCTTCTCGCCGCAGCCGCTGCACTTCAGGGTGTCGAACTCGGCCTCCCGCGCCTTGGCCTCCTGTCGGAGAGGGGGGGGGTACACGTCGGTCGGAAGGAGTAGGTAGAAGCATGAAGTAGGAAGGCGGAGCACACATGATTGGGTCCAGGTACTCCCAGAGAATAACAAAACACAGCAACAGCATGCCGATTCTTGAAGTAAGAAAGCGCTTGAAGTAGATTGGGATCTGGGAATCCAAAAATACCTACTTTCAACGACCGGCGGGTACGGGTCGGCGCGCCAACGCTGACCCCTCCGTGCGGGCGGGCTGAATCTGCAGGGTCAGAAGCGTTGGCGCAACCAGGCTCCATCAGGTGGAGGAGGAGGAGGAGGAGGAGGAGGAGTGGTATCTGCTAGTGGGGCCAGGGGGTGCAATGCGACTAGCAGCCAACGGCCTCGCGCCGAGGGGCGCGATCAAGGGGCGACGGGCACCTCCCAGGAGGGGGGGGAGGAGGGCCAGAATGGGGACTGAGTGCCTCCGTCGGGGAGGAAGACAACTAAAACGAACGGGAGCGGTCCCTGGACCCAACCACAGCGTAGGCAACATCCTCATCCTCCGACAGGGCGAAGGACCTCGATGCCCAGAACTTTGTGGTCGAGTGCGAATGAAGCAAAAAGGAATAGATCTCAGGCAGCCTCCCGCACCCAGGAGGAGACGACGAGGAGGTGGAGGAGGAGAAGGGGGAGGAGAAGGGCGAGGAGGAGAGGGAGGAGGAGGAGACGACAGGTACAGGGTTGAGGATGACCCGCTCGGATTAAAAACATGAAGTGCGGGCCCCATAGGGAGGGGGGCTCCCGCCGAAAACTTTTCCACAGTTCACTCACAGACGAGGCCTCCCGACTGATACTTCCTCCATATTCAGGCCTCGGGAGCCCAAAAGTGACGACAATTACAGGGTTGAGGATGATCCGCTCGGTTTAAAAATCTGAAGTGCGGGCCCCACAGGGAGGGGTTCCCGCCTAAGACTTCCTCACAGTTCACTCACAGACGAGACTCCCCGCCTGATACCTCCCCCATTTTCGGGCCTCGGGAGCCCAACAGTGGCCACAATTACAGGGTTGAGGATGACCCGCTCGGCTTAAAAATCTGAAGTGCGGGCCCCACGGGGAGGGGGCTCCTGCCTGAGACTTCCTCACAGTTCACTCACAGACGAGACTCCCAGCCTGATACTTCCTCCATTCTCAGGCCTCGGGAGCTCCAAAGTGACGACAGCTACAGGTTTTGAGAATGACTCGCTCGGATTAAAAACATGAAGTGCGGGCCCCACAAGGAAAGGGCTCATGCCTAAGACTTCCTCGCAATTCACTCAGAGACGAGGCTTCCGCCTGATACTCCCCCACATTCAAGCTAGCGAATGAGTGGGTGAGTGAGTGAGTGAATGGCTGAATGGGTGATGATGATGATTCGGGTCGGGCGAAAGGGGGGGATAAGAAAGGGGGGGGGTGAGAATCAGCTCACGTAACTGATTTTCCCGGCGCCTCCCGGCGCCGGAGGCGGCTATGTATCAAAGAATGGGCCCCTCCGTGATGCCGAAACCAGCTGCATGCAGCAAATTTCGTAACCCCCCCTTTCCCAATCCCCCCCTTTCGTCCGGCCCGAATGATGAGGATGATGCAGATGATGAGTGAATGGGTGAGTGAGTGTGTGATCGAGTGATGGTCAAGGTGATCAAGATGGTCTGTGTGTGAGTGAATGTGAGTGTGTGTTTGTTCCTGTGTGTTCCTGCGCGGGGTGTCCAGAGAAAACTAGAACCCCACTTTGGATGTGGGGAATAATCCCGGATTAAAACTCAGCGCGCTAGATAGTAAACGGGCTGCTTCCAGGAAGAGCAACACAATTTCCCATAGCTCCGTTTTACAGCAGCCACGGGTTTGCCAGCCGTCGCCTGGCTTCTGGACTAGTGACCCAGCGAACCCCCAACCCTCCTTGATGTGAGCCACGCTGCAATGCCCGAAAGACCGAAAGAGGCGCTAACAGAGGCAACTTTGGGCAATTTCCCACAGCACCCGTCAGTGGTACCCATTTATTACGGTGCCGCTGCCATCGTCCCTCTCCAGACTGCCAGGGGCGCGCCAGACGAGCCAGCGGCAGACTTCCAAGTGGGAAGGCCTGGACGGGGCTCTGCAATCGTCTCGGGGATTTTCTGACCCAAGTCTGGGCAGTCAGGCCTTGCAGCATCCTGCAAGATTCTGCGCCCAAACACGGGTCAATGCGACCCTGCCCCTGCAGGATCCCGCCAGAACGGGCGCTCTGGCTGAACTCCGTCTGCATTGACCCGTCTCAGGGCTCCCGATCGTCGCCCCGTGGCCCTCCTCCGGCGGTCCCAGGCGCGCACGCGGTGCGAGAGCGCCAGGTCATCTGCGGCGGCAGGATCGGCGCCATGGCCGCGAACGGGGGCGAACATGGCGCTCCGAAGCTGGACCGACGGGGGGGCCCCCAGTCGACCGCACCGATTCCCAAGCCATCTTGACGCAGGACGGAGCCGCAGAGTCAGGTCGGGCACGTCCTCCTATTGGGACGCCCGAAATGGGCACGGTAAGAATGGGTACAATGCCCAACAGCAGTTCCTGTTCATTCTGAACAGGACTCGCTGTCGGTGTCGCCGCGGCCTGTCCATTTGAGACAGAAGGCCCTAGGCCGCCTGCCCAACAGCGGCCGCTGTTGGTTTGGGGCAACATATGTTGTTGAGCATTGTACCCATTCTTTCCGTACCAATTTCGAGCGTCCAAATCCTAGGGGCCGAGTTCTGGGCGAAAACTGCAACCTAGCCAAAAAACAAGCAGACATGGCAGACAAATCGGGCCCAGGCTATCCTTCGACTACTCTGGACTCCTCCTCCTGCAGCGGGACCCTGCCCAGCGGAGCCGGTGGAGCGGCAAAGCGCGCTCCTGGAGGGCGCGGGCGGCCTCGCGGGCCGCGGGCTCGAGCTGCCCGCGGGCTGCCAGAGGGCGGGGAGGAGGAGGAGGGAGAGGGGGAGGGGGAGGGGGAAGGGGAGGGGAAGGGGGAGGGGGAGCAGGAGGAGGAGGAGGAGGGCGAAGATGAGGAGGAGGAATAGGAGGAGGAGCCCTCACTGGCGCAGGGCCCGTGGGCCGATCGAGGGCGGGAGAGGCTGCGGGAGGCGCGCCGGCAGAGGTGTCACTGCACCGACCTTGCAGACGTGCCACAGCGTTTTTTTTGTTGTTCCGCCAAACTGCCTGCAGTGGACGAATCAGCGCTGTGCTGGGCTTGCAAGGAAGGCCCTGCGCTTCGAGACATAATGTGGGCAGCGCCCCGCCAACGTATCACGTGGAGTGGAGTTCTGTCACCGCAGATTCCTGTTGCATTCAGAGCGAGGAACGGAGTAAACTTCACGTGGATGCTTTGTAGACTTCATTCCTGACCCATACAAAGACGCACGACATTCCCCTCGAAATGCTGAACGCGATTCTCCAGGTCGCTCGGGGACCCTTCCAGTGCTTTATCCGAGCGAGATCCGCTCTGCGATGTTGGAACCACGAGAGGTGTGAGGACGCCTGGGCGGGCAGCGGGCAAGCGTCTTCGGAAGCGGCCAAGTGGGGGATGTCCAAGGGGGGGGGGTGCAAATCATGGCCGGCGACATGTGCGCGGCCCAAGGGGGGGGGGACAGGGACGTAATGAAGCAAGAACAGGCGCCATGAAATCTGAGGTAAAGTCATGGCCCGCGCCATGAAATCCACCCCCCCTAGTCATCACCCCCCTCTTTGCCGCCCCCGACGTCTGCCACCTAGGAAACGACAAGAAACGCCATGAGCATAACCAACCTTTCGGCGCTCCGCGCGGATGTCTGGGATCCGCGCTGGAGCCCCCTCCCGCGGGGAACACTCCGGGGGCGGCGCCGGAGGCGCCGCTGGGGGGCCCCCGCGCGGAGCCGAGAAATCCGCGCAGAGCGCAAACAGTTTATGTTCATGGCGTTTTTTTCTTCGTGGAGGGCAAGCGTTTGTCACCTCGGAGGTGCCCGTGCTGTACGGAGGAATGGTATATAACACCAGAGAAAAAACCAGTCAACAAATGGTTTGATCGATGAAAAGATCGACCGGGAACCAGGGAACCTAGAAACCCAGAACCAATCGAGATCGGCCCAAAACCAACAACCAGGAACCCTGGAACCTGGACCCGGCAACCCGGAACCCGGAACCCGGGAACCCAGCCGGCCACCAGAATCGGCGGGAAACTCTCGCCAGAGCATTCGATTTCCGCTAGGACCCCTTCAGTGCAAGCACTGATTGGGGAAAAAACGGGAGTTCGCCCGCGGCCCCGCGGGGCGGAGAGGGTCCCGCGCAGAGCGAAGAAGGGGTGCTTTTGCCCGGGCGACTCCGGGACATCGGCGTCGGCGCACCGTGCCGCCAGCCCTGCCTCCCGGGAGGGGGAGGAGAGGGGAGGGGAGGGAGGGGGGAAAGAGGAGAAAGAGGAGGGGAAGGAGGAGGGGGAGGAGGAGGGGGCACGAGGAGAAAGACGCGGGGAAGAAGGAGGGAGAGTGGAGAGGGAGAGAGATGAGGACAAGGAGGAGAGGGATTCTATAACATTCTACATCTGAGGGTGGTGACCAGCAGCGAGGCGGTGCACGCTTTCCACAGAGAAGGAAGAGAGGGAGAAGCGGGGAAAACCAGGACGAGGGGGGAGAGAAGGGGTCGCGGGAGGGGTCGGGAGGTACGACAGGTTCGCGTCGCGACTTCTTGTGCATTGGTTCCTGACACCGCGTGGACCGTTCAACCAACTAGCAGAAAAAACACGGCATAAACAGAAACTTGTGGCGCTCCGAGCGGATTTCTTGGATCTGCGCTGGACCACACTCTCCATCCCCTGCTGATCATCCTTCTCCTCCTCTTCCGCCTGCTGAAATCACCGTCATCATCAGAGTCATCCAGACCACCACTACGCTCATCATGGCGTCATCATCTTGAGCATCAGCAGCATCACCCTCATCATCAGCAGCGCCATCATCATCACAACCAACTCGTCACCGTAAACATCATCAGCAACAGTAGCAACGACATCATCATCAGCAGCAACATCAGCATCACCTTCCGCACCCCAGATTACCATCGTTCCAATCATCACCATCATCATCACCACCACCACCACAATCACCAGCATCGTCACAACCATCACCATCAGCTTCATAATCATCATCACCAACAGCATCAGCATCGTCATCAGCCTCATCAGCAGCATCACCCACATCAGCCAAAACCTCCATCACCATCCCCATCACCATTACAATCGCCACCACATCATCAGCATAGTCATCATCACCATTATTATCATAGTACTCGTCAGCAGCATCATCATGATCTTCAACACCACCAACAGCATCATCAGCATCAGCATCATAATCATTGTAAGCATCGTCACCACCACCACCAACATTGTCATCATCAACGTCATGACCGTCGTCAGTATCATCATCAGCATCATCCTCACCATCTACAACACCATCATCATCATCGGCGAGAATCGTCACCCGTATCATCATCAACAGGATCATCAGAATACTCAAAAGCATCGTCATCGTCATTGCCATGATCATCATCAGCCGTAGCAACATCATCACCATCGCCGTCATCATCAGCCTCACCATCATCGCCATCATCGTCATCAACATCATCAACAGCATCATCATCACCGTCGTCATCATCCTCATTAGCAGCAACAGCGACGTAATATCATCATTATCAACGTCAGCATCATCATCATCATCATCATCATCAAACATCACCGTCACCGATATGCATCACCATCGGCATCATCATCATCATCGTCATAGAGATCATCCTAATCGTCGTCGTCAGCGACAGCATCATCCTCGTCAACATCATCATCATGATCAACGTCATCATCACCATCCTTACCACCACAACCAGCATCATCAGCACCACCACAACCACAACCATCACCATCACCATCACCACCATCATCATCATCGTCAGCATCATCATCACTCTCATCACCACCACGCCATCATCATCGACCCCTCCTCGCTTTACCACTCACCTCACTCCTCCTCCTCCTTCTCCTCTTCCTCCTCCTCCTCCTCCTCCTCCTCCTCCTCCCTCCTCCTCCTCCGCCTCCTCGCCTCCTCCTCCTCCCTCCATCCTCCGTTTCCTCATCCTCTTCCTCATCCTCCCTCCCCCTCCTTCCCTCCTCCCTCCTCCCTTCCCCCGTCGTCGTTTTCAAACCGCGGCTCCTCCTCGGTCGTGGGCCTGGGCGGCACCGGCGGCAGCGGGGACCGGCTGTGGCAGCGGAAGCACTGCCACGTGGCGGCGTCCTGCTCGAGGATGTAGAGGGACCTGTCTCTTCTCCTGCTCTTCCTCCTCCTCCTACTCCTCCCACTCCTCCTTCTCCTACACTCCTCCCTCCTCCTCCTACTCCTCCTCCTTCTCCTCCTCCCTCCCACTCCTCCTTCTGCTCCTCCTCCTCTTCCTCCTCCTCCTCCTCATCCTCCTTATCCTCCTCCTCCTCCACCTCCCGCTCCACTTCCTCCTCCTACTCCTCCTCCTCCGCCTCCTCTTCCCCCCCCCCTCTTCTCCCCTCCTCCTCCCCCCCTCCCCCTCCTCCTCGTCCTCCTCCTCCTCCCGTCCTTCTCCCCTTTCCTCCTCCCTTTCCTCCTCCTCCTCCTCCTCCTCGTCGTCTCCTGGACCTGGTCCTCCTCCCTCCTCTCCTCCTCCTCCTCCTCCTCCTCCTCTTCAACATCCTCCTCCTCCTCCTCCTGCTCCTCCTCCTCCTCCTCCTCCTCGTTCTCCTTCGCCTCCTCCTCATACTCCTCCCTTATGTCACTCCCTCCTCCCCTTCCCGTGGTCGTTCTGCATCAGCATCCGCCTCTGTTGGACTGCCGACCCACCAGCCTGCTCGTCATGAGGTTGCAGATGTGATAGCAAATGCAACAATACAAAATGCGTCGTCGAAAGCTCAACGCAGACGATTTGCCCTTCCAGGGCAACTGGGCGACGCGGCGGGGGGACGCGCGGCCTACGTCCACGACTCGCTGGTGATCTACGCCCGCGGGCGCGGCATGGTGCGTGGCTCGCCGTGTCGACTCTGGCAGCTTCAAGAGATTACCTCTCGCGCGCCCATGCGCCCAGCGGCCGCTCACTATCATGTTGTCCAAGGCTTGCTGCGTTCCTGGTGCTCCCTGTGCAGGGGCCTCACCAAGCCAGGTGGCTCTCAGCGACTTGCCGAACCATCCTTTCAACGGCGTCGCGGGTGACCCTGTGCCACTGCGGCGTTACACGCTTCTCACGCGGTGCGCTTTTCAGGCCGTCTCCGTCGACATCCCCCTCGTTCAAGCCCAACCTTGTCAAACCCAACCATGTCCACGATGTGCAGTCGCACGCGGTACTCGCACGGTAGCCGGGCAGTTGGTGAAGGCCGTCGATCTTCTCTTGGGAGCCATGCTGCAGCCTCAGTTGCCGACGAACTTGGCCAGAACGCGCGCGATGGCTGCGCCGAGCCGAAACGATTTAAACGATCCCGGGAGGGAGCGACTGCCCGCTGTGTGCCAGCCGGTTCTCCGACTCTTTTTTTCTTTTGGTGCGACAGGGCGAGCATTCTGCGGTGGACAGACCTCCCTTTAGCAGACCTCCCCTTAGTGAAACCGGCCTGGGACCGAAACCGACGGACCTGGACCCGCAAAAATGACGGCCGCGACGCCCTCTCGCGCACCGAAAACGGCCAATCCCTTGATCGACGTGTCAGGGAAGGTCTGTCCACCCCCGAAGCATGGCCACGCCACCCCCCGGCGCCGCGCACACGCCCGCCCCGCCAGCGCCACTGCCCTCGCCCGGCCAGCGCCCGCGCCGCCCGAGCCAGCGACCGCCCAGGCCCACGCCCGTACTCCTCCTCCTCCTTCTCCTCCTCCTCCTCGGACAGGATGCTCGGAGAGGCTCTCGGCGCAGGATACCCGCCCAGGCCTCCTGGCCTCTGAGGAATCCGCCGACCCTGTCGGCGTGTGTGAGGGGCTTGTCTGTTGGAGTCGTCGTCTCGGTCGCTCGTCGTCTCCGTCGTCCCATTTCCCTGCGCCCTTCTCCTGATGCCTGTCAGCGATGGAAATATCTAGCAATGTCGCAATCGCGTCGCAAGGGAGCCCCTTCCTTTTGATCCGCTCCCCATCGGGGGGGGGTCCGGGGGGGGTTCCAGGGGTGGCGTCCATGGGGGGGGTAGGGCGGATAAGAGAGGGGTGGGAGGGTGATCAAATACGCATTCCCCCCTGCGGGTCCTGGGGTCCCAAAAAGTACGTACCGTTACCGAGACAGGCCAAAAGTGTCCGAAGAGGCCCCCGAAACGGTCCAGGAGGCCATTGAATTGCCAAACGATCGGTACAAAACGCCTTCACGCCATCCAGACTGCCCAAGTGGTTTCCAAAAGACCCCAAGAAGCCTCCCAGAGCACTCCCGAGGCAAAATGCATTGACGCTCCTTCGGTTATGATAGGATTTGGGCGTTCTCGCCTTTCCTTCTTCCTGCCGCTCGAAGACATCTCCAGAAGCCCCGAAGATCGCGAAAAGACGGTACAAGAGGCCTCCAAGAGGGCACCAAAACAGCCCAAGAGGAACCCAATATAGCCCCAAACGCCGCCAAGACTGCCCAAGAGGCCCCGAAGACTGCTGCAAGAACGTGCCCAGACGGGGGACCCGAACGGACATTTCGAGCTCTCGGCCCCGAGAGGTTCCCAGGGCACCCAAAAGGCCCACAAGAGGTCCCCAGGAAGCCCGAAGAGACTCCCAGGAGGCTCCCAGAGAGGCCCCCAAGAGGCTCACAAGAGGCCCCCAAGAGACCCCAAATTCTTCACCAGAGGCCCCCGAGAGCCTTCCCAGAAGCTCCCAAGGCCGATGGGGCCCGAAGGTCGGGTCGGGCGAAGGGGGGGGATAGCAAAGGGGAGGTTTGAGAATCAGCTCACGTAGCTGATTTTCCCGGCGCCTCCCGGCGCCAGAGGCGGCTATGTATCGAGGAATGGGCCCCTCGGTGAGGCCGACATCAGCTGCATGCAGCAAATTTCGTACCCCCCCCCTTTCCCAATCCCCCCCTTTCGTCCGGCCCGAGAAGGGCTCGCGAGGCCGGCGGGGGGCCGCGCTCGAGAGGATCCCAAGCTGATGGTCGTGCAGATTTCTCCGGCCCCGCGGAGGGCCGAGCTGTTCTCCAGCGCGGCCTCGCCTTCGCTTCAGCGCGGGCGAGGCATCTCTGGGAACCCGCCGCGTGATCCTGCAAGACTCGGGTCGGGGGGGGGGGGCCGTGGCCTAGGTCCAGCCAAAGCGGGGAGCAAGAGGATGAAGAGGAGGAGGAGGAGGAGGAGGAGGAGGAGGAGGAGGAGGAAAAGGAGGAAGAGGAGGACGAGGAGGAGGAGGACGAGGAGGAAAGGGATGATGAGGAGGGAGGAGGAGGAGGAGGAGAGGGATGAGGAGGCAAAGGAGGAGGAGGAGGAGGAGGAGGAGTAGGAGTAGGAGGAGGAGGGGGAGGAGGAGGAGGAGGAGGAGAGGAGAAGCTCCCCTCGAGGTCCAGCCAAAGCGGGGAGCAACCTCGTTCTCGCGCCGGCCCTCCTCGGCCCCCGCAGGCCCCCCCCCCTGCGGCGGGCCTCCGCGGCCTCGCGTGGGCTTGCCAGAGATTGGCGACAGTGGCCTGGAGCCTGGCACTCTTAGAAGGGGGTTTGGAGGTTTCGAGGTTTCCTGGCGTTCCGAGGTTTTCGGGAGTTTTCGACGGTTCTCGGCGGCTGTCCAGCCTCGGGATGCTCTCCAGCGGCTGCGCCTCGCCGAGGGCGTTCTGGGTGTGCCCAGATCGTCCGGAACGGCCGCCGAAGGCCCGAGTTATGGCCCGAGCACCATCAGCCACGCGCAGAGGGGGGAGGTAGGGGGGGGGGGGAAGGCTTCTTGGAAGCACCCCTGCGACGGCGCGGCCAGCTGGGCTGCGCGGTGGTAGGGCCCCCTGCGCGACGCCAGTGGTGCCAGGGCCTTGCGGCATGCGCCGCCGACCCAGGATGCGAGGAGGGCAGGGAGATGGAGCAGGTGGGCGAGGAGGGGCGGGGCTGGCCCACGTCAACGTCGCCGTCGTCGCCGCCGCCGTTGTCGTCGTCGTCCCAATTCACGGTCGGCGGCACACCAGCCGTAAAGCCTTCGCGGTATCGGTCCAGGTAAAGAGGCTGTCCGAATGTTTCGGGCGGGCCTCTCAGCCTGGCTGCGGACACAGGAACGCAGCCCCTTTTGCTGGCACCAGAAACAGCCTGTTGTGTACGAGGAGGACCAAAAAACCGCCACGGAAGGACCTGAGGAACGTCGAGCCCCTTCCGAACCCAAAACTGCTCCTTATTTCAGCGTCTTGGCTGTACGGCCAAAGCGAGCTGGGGGGTCATCCATATTCGGAGTCAGTGACTCTGCGCTGCGAGGGCTCAGGACTTCGCGATGCACTTGTTCATCTCACCGTGGCGAAGGTCAAAACCTGTGTCTCGGTCTGGTGGCACCGATCGGCCTCCCGTCCTGTGATGATTCCAGCCTTCCCTGATGCCAATCAAGCGCTCACCAAAACCAACCTTTGGAGTGATTTCAGGCAGCCGGCTGCGGCCCTGCTTCTCGCGCTTCAAGAGGGGCCTGCGGACGCAAGACCTTGATGAGGTCACCATCCTGGACCGACGTGGAATGTCTTGGGTGCTGGATCCGCTTTCGACCGAGCTCTTCGCCTTCCCAGTCGGCGTGCGTGCTGGGATGTGACCGCGACCCAGGAGCAGAATCGCCTGTCTGACTTTTTGAGTGGTTGGGTTGGTCCCGTCTGCTCCTGCTCCGCGAAGGCGCGGTTTAGCCTGCAAAGTCCCACCAGCCCTCTGGACGTAGGTGGTTTAACGGATGTTGTCTTCTCTGTATCTCTCGTTTTCTCTTTCTCCCTCTCTCTCTCTCTCTCTCTTTGCCAAAACTCATTATTCCCCTTCTCGGGAAAAGGCTTATCATCGCTCCCTATCCATGAACACCCCCTCCCCCACCCGACTGCAGGCCAACCCGGGACATGCCGAGCCCCTCCCACACCATCACGGTCAAAAAGCAATTCAGAATGCAGTCTGCCTCCAAATCTGAAGCATGCGCGGGCGCCGCGCGACCACTATCTCCGCACGGGTTTTTGATAGGGACGGCGGGGGTGCTGGCACGCTGTCTGTTGTGCACAAATGCGCGCAAGCAGACCGTCCGTCGAAAGACAGTACAGAATTACCTTTGCCTCCAAATCTGAAGTGGACATGACACGGGCGCCGCGCGACCACTCGGCGGGCTCCCCGCGACCACTCTGCAGTGGTTTTTGACAGGGGTGACGGGGGTGCGGGCATCTTGCTTGATGCGCGCAGGCCAAAAACATCCCTGCCAACAAAACAATACAGAATCCACCCAGTCGCGGCTGTGCAATGGCGCGCCCCGCTGGAGCACGTGGCGCACTCGGCGCTCGTGGAGCACGTGCCGCACCTGCAGCGCCTCGCACGCTTGGGCCTCCATGGTGCCTGGTGCGCCTGCCCAGAGATCCGACGTCGTGATTGTTTCAATACGGGGTCCCCGGAAGTCTCGACCCATTCCCCAGGACCGGTTTTTCTTCATGAGTCGTTTCTTTTGTCGGTCCCGAGGCCCGGTAAGGGCCCCTAGAGGCCGAAATTCGTAGAACCTCCGTCGTGATTTGTTCCATGCGTTGGATCTCTGGGTGAACCCGTGGCGCACATGGCATGCGTGGCGCTCATCGGCGATGTGCTGTGACTCGGGCGCTGCTTATGTGAATCGGGAGGGCAGGTGGGAAGTGGGAGTGAGCGAGATGGCCTGCGGTCTTGGGGGAGCTCCGACCCCCCCTAACCCGGGAGCGAAACCAACCGGAAGCAAGAAAGGAAAGGGGGAGACAGGGAGGAAAAGGAGAGAGAAGGAGGGAGGACGGAAGGGAGGAAAGGAGGGAAGGAAAGCAACACAACACAAAAACGAGGGGCGAAGAATATAAAAAGAAGCTGAATGCCTGGGGAGGGGAAGGGGCGGGTAGGTCGAGCGTCCAAGATGGCCCAAAACGGCACCCAGAGGGCCTCAGAGAGCCCAAGATGGCCTCCAATGTAGCCTCCGACACACACGAGGACCGAGGCCTTTCGAATGTCTTCCGAACCCTCCCAGGACCCTCCCCAGGGGTCAACCTTCTTCAAAACCTATGGAAAATCCTGTTTGTTTACCTTCTCGCCTTTTCGCTTCCGATGTGCTCTTGAGGCCTCAAGATGGCCCCAATACTGCCCAAAACAGCCCCAAGAGAGCCCCAAGCGGGTGCCCAAGAGGGCCCCAATACCGCAAAAGAGGTTCCCAAAAACGCCCCAGGAGGGCCCGCTGGGGGGGCCTGCATTGAGGATTTCCTTCTTTTGTCAGCCATGGGGCCCAAGACGGTCCCAAGAACCCCCCCTAAAAAAAGAGCCCCAAGAGGGCCCCGAGACCCCCCAAATCAGCCCCGAGAACACACTTCCAAGGCGGCTGTTACACTGCATGTTTCTACACTTCCCTGATCGAAGCCACTCGCCTGGCGATCTGTTTCTACATGGGCCACTGGGGATTTGTTTGTTCGCGAGCGCAAACGGAAAGGGCCGCGCGCAGTCCAAAGCTACAGCTAACAAGCAGGAGTCTAAATAGCACTCGAGCGAGAGAGAGAGAGAGAGGGAGCGAGAAGAAAAGAGAGACAACAAGAGAACAGCGGGAGGTGAGACTAACCGGGGCGGGCCGCGCGGCGCTCACGGAGGGGGTGCCATGGGCAGCTAAGGCTGGTGGGGATGCGCGAAGAGTCAAAATGTTCGTCAGGCCTGTCGGCCCACCGTCGTCGCGTCCTACGAGGCCTGCTGGTCGACCACTGCTGGTGCCTGCCAGAAGCGTTTTCCGAAACTTGCCAAGGAATTCGCCTTTTCATGCCTATTGTGCCTAGTGCCCCTTGGCACGATCTTCCACCGCAAACTGTCCAGCCCTGCCTAAATCGAGGCTTTCCAAATGGGGTCGGAGCAGCTGGGGTCGGAGGGTGTCGCCGCATCGCCGACTGATCGGCGATGCATCGCCGACGCATCGGCGAAGCATCGGCGACGTCGGCAACGCAATGGCGACGTCCGCTCGGAGAAAATCGGGTTCCGCATCGGGCCGCGTAGCCGATGCAGCGTCGATGCGGCGCGACCGTCCGACACCATCTGCTCCGAACCCATCTGGGAGGCCGAGATTGCTGGCGCAGGGACGAACCAACGCCTGAGCTGCGAATGCGGGAGTGGCACATCAATCATTGTCTTGGGCTTGTCGAGGTACCCTCAAGACACTTCTGAAATACTTCAATCCTCCTCCTCCTCCTCATCCCCCTCCTTTTCCTCCTCCTCCTCCTCCTCCTCATCATCATCATCATCCCCCTTCTTTTCCTCCTCCTTAGTGTTTTAAACGTTAGTCCGACCAAAGCAAAAGCTGTGGCGTTCTTACTCCTCCTCCTCCTCCTCATACTCCCTCCTCTCCTCTTCGTCCTCCACCTCCTCTTCCTCCTCCTCATCCTCTTCCCCCTCCTCCTCCTCCTCATCTTCCCGCCCCTCCTCCTCCTCCTCCTCCGCCTCCTCCTCCTCCTCCTCCTCCTCCCAACTCGGTCGGCCGCACGCGGGGCGGAGGGCGGGAAGACCTGCTGGTCGGCGGGAACTGGGGGTCCACGTACTGCTCGCCGGTCTGCTCGCCTCGGGGGGGGCGCGCGCCTCACCAGCAGAGCTTGAGGAAACCGGAGGACGAGGGACGACGACGAAGAGGAGTGCGTGGACGACGACGACGACGACGAGCACGACGACGACGACGGCCTCGCAGAACGAGGACGAGGCCGAAAACAGCAACGACGACGAGACCAAGGAGCGGAGGACGAGACTTTAGTCCCGAGGTTCAGGACCGCACTGTCCACGACCGCCAGCGGTTGAAACGTGCGTCGGTATCGCCGAGGCCCGAAAATTCATGCGCGTGCTGGCATCGACCTTGGAACGAGATCGTCCATGCATTGCAGACCACGGCTTAAGCGGAGATCGTGCAATAGCGGCTCGGGTCAGGCCACACGCGCGGGGCACTGCTGATCTGACGGCAGAAAGCAAGACTGCGACGCTGAGCAAAGGCACGCTGGACGTCCAGAAGCAGCAAGCAACAAGTGGGGAAGGCTACGACACAGTTCGCAGCGACCTCGACGCCGCTGGGTGCTTTGATCACCTCGCTCCAGACGCAAGCAGTGCCGAACAGGAGAAGGTGACGAGCTAAATTGACTGCTCCACCCCCTGCCCTCCGCTTGTACTGCCCCTGGTCTCCCCTCCTTTTCCTTCATCCTGCTTCCCCTCCCTTCCTTCACTCCCCTTTTCCCCTCCCCCTTCTTTCCCTTCCCCTCCTCCGTCCGCTCATCCCCTCCCCTTGCCTGTTATTTCCCCTCCCCCCCATCCCCGAATTAGGCCATTGACAGAAGCTGTTAATTTCCTTGACAGACTCGTCTGTGATCAGCTTGTCCTCACCCCGGAAACGCTCGAACTCCACCTCCACTAGCGGCTCGTCCTGGAAGTCAAAGGGAAGAGGACCAGAGCAGAACATACCAGGAAGGCATCACCAGGACTGCAAACCCCTCCCGTCCGAAACCACATCATCAACAAATCATCCGGGTGTTCCCCTTTCACTCATGCGAGCACCTGCTACTGAAACAGTGAAAGCACCACATGGTCCGCCACAAGTTCGGGACATGGGAGGGCTGGAGATATGATGTCCCCATGGCCCTGCCAAAGGTTCAGCAACTGGGAAGACCAGAAAGGCCAAAACCCTGCGGACCTGCCACGGGGCATTGCCCTGACAACATCGGACGCAATCTCACAACATGTGTTGCCGAGGACCCGCTTTCCATCTGTGCAGGAGACGACAGCTTTCTGGGCGGAACGGCGGGAACCTGAGCGACTCCTTTTCTTGAGCCAAGACAGCAACAACCCACTGCGTGTTTGCTGGTCTTGACGTTCCCATATAGGCCTCCGAGAACCTGATTCCGTTAGGTGCTGCTGTCTGACCCCCAACCCTCAGGAATCCGCTGCCCCCCCCCCCCCCCGGCGAGCGCATGCCCACTCACTCGTAGATCTGGCGGCCAGTCGGGGGCACGTCTCGCTCACTCCCTCTGGCCCTGCATCTCGGCGGCGCAGTCGGCAGCGCACGATTCCTCTGCGCCCAGCCTGGGCTTCAGGCTCCAAGGCGAGCCTCGACACCGTCTCGCTCTCAGTGCGGCGTCACCATCTTGACCCGCTTCCAGTGCGGAGGCCTCATCGGGCGCTTCATTCCTAGCCCCAGCAACACGGCCACGCAGTGCCTCTTGAGGTGCGGCGGAAATCTGGCCTCAGGGCAACGATCTCTTTCTGCAGGTCGTCGGTCATGATTCTGCGAGGTGCTATCTACTGGCGGCGAGCGCGGGGGGGGGAGTGAGAAAGAATGCGTCTTCTCAAAGGCTCGGATGTCCCCCGGCCTTCTGAGAAGTTTCCGAAATGTTACCCGAAGACAGATAGAGCTGCTCAGAAGGCGCACGAGCTTCTGAGAAGTCCCGCCGCCTCCTGAGAAGGCCGCCTCCTTCTCATTTCCCCCCTTGCTCGCCGCCGAATCCAACCCCCGTCCCCCAGGAATCCGCTGCACCTCCTCTCGACGCGCGCATGCCCATTCACTCGTCGATCTGGCGGCCAGTCGGGGGCAGGTCTCGCTCGCTCCCTCTGGCCCTTAATCTCAGTGTTAGGTCGGGCATGTCCTCCTACAAGCTGATATTGGAGGAAAACCAAGAATTGCAGAACAAAAAAAAGCATGCAAGCATAGTCAAACCATGCTTCTTTTTGTTACTACGTTTGAATGTTCCTCCTGTAGAGGGACGTGCCCGACTTAATCCGCCGACCCCTTGTGGGTCTCTAGGCGTGTGAGATAGTTCCCCCCCCCATAACCCCCCCAAGGGACCCCAAACCGGAGATTTGACCCCCCCCAATCGCCCGGGACGAGCGCACCACGAAGCTTTTCCGGGCCCGAGAGGGCCTCAAGACGGGCCTAGAAAGCCCCAAGAGGCTTCCAAAACGGCCCACGAGGGCCCCGAGACGCTAAACGAGCGCTCCAAGACGCCCTAGCTGGCCCAAAGATGGGCTCAGAGGCCTCCAAGACGGCCCAAGAGGTCCCCAAGAGGCCCCAAGAGGCCTCCAAGATGCGTCCCAAGAGGGTCCCTAAACGCAAACATTGGCCCACGTAAAACATACGATGTTCATACATTGGCCTTCTGGGCTTTCCGATGCTCTCAGACGGCCCAAGAGGACCCCAATACCGCCCCAAGACGGCCCAAGAAGCCTCCGAGAGGGCCCCAAGACAGCCCAAGCGGGCCCCAAGACAGCCCAAGAGGCGTCCAAGACGGCCCAAGAGGGCCCCGAAGACGGCCCCAAGAGCGCTCCAGGAGCGCTCCAAGTCGCCTCCCAGAGAGCTCAATGTGGTCCCAAACGGTCCAAGAGCGATCAAAGACACCGAAGATGGCCTCCAGCGGTCCAAGATGCCCCCATGAGGCATCCAAGATACGTCCCAAGAGGGCCTCTAACCTCAAAAATTGGCCCGTTTCCTTTGTGAAACGTGGATGTTTGTACAACTTCGCTGCTTGGGCTTTCGGACGCTCCCAGACGGCCCCAGAGACCTCCAAGACCGCCCCAAGACGGCCCAAGAAGCCTCCAAGAGGGCCCCAAGACAGCCCAAGAAGGGCCCAAGACGGCTCCAGAGGCGCCGAAAACGGCCCAAGAGAGCCCTGAAGACGGCCCCAAGAGCGCTCCAACTGGCTTCCAAGAGAGTTCCACATGGTCCCAGACGGTCCAAAAGCGATCAAAGACACCCGAGATGGCCTCCAGATGGCCCAAGACGCCCCCAAGAGGCCTCCAAGGTGCGTCCCAAGAGGGTCCATAGACGCAGAAATTGGCTCATCTCCTTCGTAAAACTTATATTTTTAAAAACACATTCGCCGTGTGGGCTTTCCGACGCTCCAAGACGGCCCAAGAGGCCCCGAAGACCGCCCCAAGACACCCCAAAAGAACCCGCCAAAACGGCACCACGACGGCGTAATATGGCCCCAAGACGGCTCAAAAGGGCCCCAAGACGGCCCAGGCTCCCAGACGGCACCAAGAGGAGCCGAAGAGGGCGACCAAACATTCAAAATTTGACTTGTCCGCCCCCGGGAACCCCAGGGAGCCCGAAGAGTGCCCCAAGAGGCCGCCAGAGGCCCCCCAAAGGCGGCGAAGACGCCCCAAGGAGCTCCCAAAAGGCCCCCAGGAGGCCCCCAAAAGACTCCCAGAGCCTCCGAAACGGCTCCCAAGTGGCGTCAAAACTGCCTTCCAGAGGCTCCCGAGAGGCGCGCCGCGAAAACCCGATACACATACAAGCAGCCTCCAACCCATAACCCATAACCCAGAGCCTCTTCTCTGTGTCCCCCTCCGTCTCCCCCCCCTCCCTCTCCACCTCGGCCCCCTAGGCTCCCGAGAGGCGGCGTCCAAACTGCCTTCCAGAGGCTCCCGAAAGGCGCGCCACGAGATCCCGATACACATACCAGAAGCCTCTAACCCATAACACATAACCCAGAGCCTCCTCTCTGTGTCCCCCTCCTTCTCCTCCCCCTCCTCCTCCTCGGCCCCCAAGGCTCCCGAGAGGCGCGCAGCGACTGCCAAGGCAGCGTGGTTGTTGGCAGGTTGAAAGGTTCAGCGCATCGTATTGCGATGAAGATCAGGTTTCGACGACAGGATGGCAGCATGTTGTATCAGGACGAGGCTGTGAATGCGCTGGCGAAGCCCGAAGATGTCAACCGTGACCTGCCGGCCACACCGTCGGGATTGCAGCAGATACTGGCAGATCTCCAGACGGCCTTCGGTGATGACAGTCAGGTTATGCAGGCGTTTGATTTGGACAAGTTCTGTGAGTTGCATCGCGGGTCACACTCGCTCTTAGACTACGTGACGGCGTTCAAGATACGATATGAAGCAGCAGAGGAGCACGCGGCGCTGAGCATCAATCACGTCGGCTTGACACACCTACTGCTCGGCAAGGCTGGGCTGGCTCCAAGATTAATCGACGATTTGATGCTGAATGTAGACGGCGACAGGGGCCAGTTCACAAAGGTCTACAAGTTGCTGGTGAAGTTCAGTAAAAGACAGAAGGATATCGGCGAGGGCGACACGCAAGGCATTCTTTTGACTTCTGATGGTGATGACGAAGAACAGGAATATAGCCAAGTTGAGTAGTTCACTGATCACGACGGAAACTGGTAAATTTATGACTACACGTACAAGCTCCTCGCAGCATGCATGACCACCCGCGCTATCACAACGCTGTCGATCGGCACCTTCGCTTTGACGTCGCCTCCGCAAGGCATTCCCCGAGGGCCCTGCTCGGGCGCGGAGTCGCAGAAATAACATCCGAACCAGCGTCTGCGTCGTCGAGCAACGGGATCTGCGGGGCAACGTCCGCCTCCATGCCGACGTCGCAGAAGTCGGAATTGACTCGAGGAATGGCCGCCTCCTCTCGGGTCGGACCCGCTGGAGACGCACTTCCGCGGCCCGGGTGGTCGGCTGCTCGGACCGACGCGCAGCGCCCGCGCCGGACCCGGAAAAGCACGTGTCCCCGCGCCCCTGTTTGGGCTCGTTCTACGGCCGATGGCGCAGCGCGCCCCGTCGGCACTCGCGTCCGCATTGGCGGCCTCAGTCTCCTTCGAAGGCTGCCTCTGCGCTCGATCTTGGCGCGCCGAACGCCGGTTGCCCCCTCGCCGCCGCTAGCACGGGCGTCGCCAGGCGCCGCGCGCTCCTTGCAATCAGCGCGGCCGCGCCGAACAGGTTGCCGCGCCCAGGCGCTGCGAAATTCTCGCCGCCCCTCACGACCCAGGCCTTCGCCCGGCAGAGCGGGCGCGGCAGCTCGAATCCGGCAGCGACCCCATAGACCAGATGGGCCTCCTCACGGTCACCGCCGGGCAGTCTGTCACGGCCTTGCCAACGTTGATCTCGCACGGCACCTCGCGCTTGCCGCGCCGCGTGATCGGCGGCCCGCGGCCGCCGGCCGCGGCTTCCCCGAGCCCGCCGCTCGCCGGCCGTTCTCGTTCGCGTGACCTCTAATGCAGACATGCGGTGCAACTCCCGGGCGTAGCCTGATCGACTCGCGCACCTCGCCCACCTCGCGCAGCCCGTCTGACCCCGACGTTCCCAGCGATGCCTCCAGGAGCATGTTCCTGGAGAGGCCTCCATAAGCATGATGGCCGCCGATCACGTCCATCTCGCGCTCGCAGACGCTACTTCTGATTCAGATTCATCGCGCACGGGGGGATCCAGCCGCATCGCCGCCCCCCAAATCGCGCCGATCTCCCGCGGTGCTGCTGGCCCGCCGCGGCCTTCAATCCTGTCTTCCTCTAGCCGGGCCGAGAACGGCGGGCCACCGTTGCGACCGCGTCCGTTCCCCTTGTAGAAGAAGCACTTCTTGCCGCCGCCCTTCGACTCGCATTTGCGCGGCCGGTCCCTGCCCTTACTACTGGCGGCTTAGCCATTGCCATCCGCTTCCTTGCCTTCACCCTTGTCTTTGGAATAATATGTTCGCCCTTGCTCTTGCCTGTGACAGCGTCGACCTCCGCGGCGACGTCAACTGCGCAGTCGCGGGCAGCTGGGCACGCGGGGCCCTGCTCACCCCTGAACTTCGCATAGTCCCGCAGCCTCGCCGAGCCCAGACTGATGTGCCAGCGGCGCTCCATGACCGCGGGGTTTTTTGCAATCGCCGATGCCATGAACGCATCTTGGGCGCAGTTCCAAGAGCTCCGCACTGCCCCGCGAGCCTCTCTATCTCCTCTCGACCTTGCAATGTATGATCTGCCTCGCCATCGCTCGGCATCGCCCCCGGCGCGCGGGCCCAAGCTCCTCCTGGAAGCGCTTCCAGATTGCGCATCGGCGGTTCGGGCCCCTCAACTTCGCCACCATATCCAGAGCCATGTCCCGCCTGCGCTTCGCCGGCGCGAAAGCGAGCTGCCCCGCTCGCATCCGAGCGTCACGCGCCAGGGCGGCCGCGCCGATCGCTCTGACGGGGGTTGTCTCGACCTAAACGACCTCCGCGCGTAGGTGCTCGCCCGGCGCTGAGATGCACAACTGCGCATTGCAGCTCCAGATCTTCCGCTCCGAAAGGTCGCCCCCGTAGACCGCAGGCTAGATTCCGACTCGCAGCTTCGCTAGCGACTGGCCAGGCACGGCCCGTGCTGCCGCCGGCGCAGCCGCCGCCGCGGCTGCCGGCGCAGCGACTGCTGCGGCGTGACCTGCAGTGGCGCCTTCTGCTGGTCGATCACCGCCTGCCGCTGCCCCAGCGTCTGCTCAAGCCGGGCGAGCACGTGGGCGAGCTGTTCCATCGCTAGTCGCACGGCGCGATGCTCTTGCCCGTCAGCGCCCCGGCGATAATCTCGCCTCCGCCGACAAGTTCCCCGCTGGCGCCCGTGGCCTCCGTCTCGCCCGCGCCCGGAATGGCGGGGGCCAGGGCGAGCCCGTTGCTTGCGCCAAAAACAACGCAGCCCACGCGTCGGCTGACATCGACGCCCCCCAAGAGGCCGCAATGGCCACGTCCCCAGAGAGGCCCCTGGGAACGCGATTCCGCTGGTTTCTGCCACGTAACGCCCGACCCTCACGCGCTCTGGAAGTATCGGAGGGACCGAAGAGAGATCGCGATCCTTTTATGCATTTCACTCTCAACAGCATGCGTCACACATGCAATGAACTTGTCTGCGACAGGATACCGAACTGCACGAATGCGACATTGCGGAAAATGACAGCCCTCCATCGGGAAGCTGCGTGACGGCATCGCGCGACAGCGCGGCGCTGTTAATCGCCTGCCCCCCCCCCCCCCGCGCGACTGGTGGCAGCGTGGAATTAAACAATGCCGCGCCGCGATGCCTCAGCGGAGAACTCGGCCTCAAACGCCACCCCATCCGTGACTAGAACCGCTCGACGTTGCCCCGGGGGCCCGAAAAAGCGAGACCTCGATGCTGATATTGGGCGGCCCTGAATCAACTCATGGTGCCCCGCGACGCCGCGCGGGCACTTCAAGAGGAAGCTGCGCGGCTGGGAACACGGCGCGCGAGCCTGCGGGCCCTGCAGGAGAGCCGGCGGCAGCGACCCCGCCGGGCAGGAACGTGGATGGGAGGGGAACGACAACGAGGCCATGACCGAGACTAAATGTGGAATCGTCGGCGCCGATCGCGGCCAAACGGGTCCTCCTCGCGAATCGGCGACGGCTGGCGCGGGCCGTGATCCAAGCCGGCGCAGCCAAGGCGCCGCGACATCTTGGCCGTGGCCATCGCGCGCCACCCTTCAGGCCTAGGGGCGGGCCAGACTTGGGAACGCAACCAGGCGCGCATCCTGGCGAGGTGGCGCGCCGTCGGCACTTCGGGCGGGCGACGGACCGCCTCTGCCCCCCTCGGCGCCCGCTGGCGGAGCGCTCGCAGAGGCCTCAACGGGCCGAAGGAACTCAGCGTGGCTGTCTCGCGTCACGCCGACGCGGACATCGTCGGACATCCACCGGTCGGCAGGCCCGCCGCGCGCCGCGGGGCCCGCAGTGCGCGCGCGGCGCCGGGGCCGGGCGCCTCGGCCGCGAGCTGAGGCAGCTGCTGTGCCGAAGACACCACCAAGGGGCCGCCGATCTGATTGCGGCAGCTGCCGTCGCGGACTTGATCGGCCGCGCGCCGGTGCGCCCGCCGGGCGAGCGCGCGCAGCGGAGACGCGGGATTGGCAGCCTCGCCGCGAATTGCTAGCCGCGCCACGAACAAGCACGCGGCGCTGGAAACGGGCAGCCTCGGCGCCGAAGCCGCGCAACTGCGCGCCAGAGGGGCGGGGCCAATCGACGTCGTCTGTCGACAGCTCGGCTGGAAGAGCGCCCGTCGCCGTGCAGGAGGGGCCGTCAGAGCTCGAGGCGGCTGGCTGCGCGCCCTGGGCCCCGTCGGACACGCCCGACCGGGGCAAGCAGCCTCCCGCGGCTCGCGTCGAAGGCCGCGCGCAGAAGTGGCCCCGTCGAGAAGGCGCGCGGAGAGTGCGCGCGGCATCGGGACTGCAATCACGCGAGGCCCCCGAGCCCCGCCTAGGGACCCCCGGAATGATACTTGCGCGGGCTCGACAGGAGCAACTTTCCGACGATGAAAGCCCAACACCTAATCAATTGCACCAAAGCCACGCGATTCAAGGAGGGGGCGCATTGAACCGCCATGAGCAAAGTAGTCACATCGAGGCGCGATACGCTGCGCGCGCGCTGGGCGCCGCCAGGAAGGTCCAGCGCAGATCCGACAACTCCAGACCACGATGCCGCTGCCCCCAGACAACAGCCAATGGCCTAGGAGTTCCTCTTCACTCCACTGCTCCGAACAAGAAACCTCCACAGGGCCAACCTCTTCGGACCAATGGATGATTCTTCGCTTGGCAACGCGAAGCAATGTCGCGCAGAGGTCAACTTGCGAATGGGCCCCAACACCAACCCTCTTCACTGCACTGACCAACAAGGAAACAACCCCTTTTCCAGCCTGCCGCTCTGCCTCTTCAGAACACTGGATGGGTATGGCATGGCTTACCTAAGCTCTGGATGCCTGCCCGCGCGAAGAATCTGCACTTGGTGCAGACCACCACGCTGCTGTCCGCCAGTACAACGGAGCCGCTGCTGAGTAGACATGTGCAATATGCCAAAAGCAACTGGTCTCCCTGCAACTGAAACGGGATCTATAAGACCAGATCGTTGTCTGCAGTGCTCAATTCGCTGACCGGGAATATCCAGCGAGATCGCAGCTCCAGTTTTTGAGAAGCAACAAGAGGCCCCCGACGAATCTGCATCCAGACCGCCAGATCTGGCTCGGGGCAGTCAGCGGTGTTCGTGAGAGTTCGATCGGCCTGGTAAACCTCCTGGCCCCAATCCAGCACCCGAGCTCTCGAGAGACACTAACCCGTGCTTTACTGAACTGAGCGAACGTCATGCTAACATCTGGATGACATGCGGCTCCGAGCTTCGCACACTCGCCGGCCTTACCATTGCCACAATTGTGCACATCGGACGTCCAGCAGTTGTGCACATCTAGTTAACATCGTGCTTTGCGCGCGCACCTAGACAGCCATGAGACCATCTCCAAGCATGTGCAAGGTACGTTACCGCAAATGTGACCGCTCATTCACGCTACTACAAGATCACGTGCGTTTGCGCGTACGCTTGAATGTGCCTGCGCAGTCGATGTGCAGACAGGAACGCCGAACGCGCACCCTCATGGCATTATCACTGCGTCCTCCTCCCCCTCCCTCCTCCTCCCTCCTCCCCCTCCTCCTCCTCCTCCTCCTCCTCCTCCTCCTCCTCCTCCTCTACCTCCTCCTCCTCCTCGACCCTCCACCCTCCCTCTATCCTCCGTCCTCCCCTCCCGCCCCGTCCTCCTTCTCCAGCTGCGCCGCCAGGTCGGCGTCGGTCATCGGCGCGGGGGGGGCGACCTCGGCGGGTGGCCGCGGGCGCGGTGTCGGGGGCGAGCGGCGCCTCCGAACTCCCGGGGGGAGGGGGGGGAAGAGGTTAGTTAGTTAGACACGACTTCGGGCCCGCGTCTCTCCTTGTTCTCACTAAGCGTGGCGGGCTGCGGCAGCAAGGAAGACCGCGAGTGCCAAGCTCAGCGTGGATCTGTTTCACATCCACCCGATGCTGCCCAGATGCACCCATGCGGGTGCGCGAGGACCACGTGGGAAAGGAGGAGGAAGAGGAGGAGCAGGAGGAGGAGGAGGAGTACGATCTCGGCTTGGGCGGAGAAAGCCCGGCGGAGGAGGAGTGAGGAGGGGCAGGAGGCAAGATCGTCAGAATCGAATCGGGACTTCGGGTGAGGTCGGAATTTGCGTCGGATCGGGCTGCGTCGGAACGGAGTGGGACTCGAATCGGATCGGATGCTCCGGGATGCACATCGGCACCATGCCGCATCGGGCCGTCGGAATCTCGGAATCGAATCGGATCGGGCTGGCCAAAACCAATATCGAATCTCATCGATCGGATCGAAAAGGGACCCTCGCAAAGTAGAGGAGGAAGAGAAGGCAAGAGGAGGGAGGGGGAAAGCAAGATGAGGGAGGGGGAGACGGAGGAAGGAGGAGGAGGGGAGGGAGGAGCGATTCCCAAGCCCCCCACCCCCGTGACTGCATTGGGGAAACCCCCTCCTCCTCCTCCTCCTCCGCCTCCTCCTCATCCTCCTAATCCTCCTCCTGCTCCTCTTCCTCCCCCTCCTGCTAATCCTCTTCTTCTTCTTCTGCTTCTTCTTTCTCTTCCTCCTCCTCCTCCTCCTCCTCCTCCTCGAGCGCGTGTCTTTATCATCGGCGATGACGGGCGTCATGGGGGGGGGGCGGCAGGGGGTATGACGTAACGCCCCCCCCCGCCGTGCGGCTCCGGCACCACAGCCGCGCCCGCGCGCACGACGACGATGAGCGACGAGCGACGAGCGACGAGAGACGACGACGACGACGACGCGAGCAGCATGTAGGTGGCGCGATCTGCCCCACCACGCCTGTGTACACCACAGTGCTCGCGTGCACCACAGCGCTTGTGTACACCACAGCGCCTGCATACACCGCAACAGCCGTGTGCAACGCAACGCCTGTGTACACCACACTGCTTGCGTGTACCATAGCGCCGGTGTGCACCACAGCGAGCGTGTACACCGCAGCAGCCATGTGTAACACAGCGCCTGTCTACACCACAATGCTTACGTGCACCACATCGAATGCGACGTTTTTCCCTCCTCCCTCCTCCACTTCCGCCTTCTCCTCCTCCTCCTCCTCCTCCTCCTCGTCTTCCTCCTCCTCCTCCTTGACCATTCCCCCCTGTCGTGCGGGTCGGCACTACACCGCACGTGCGCGTCTCAGCGTGCTCCGCAGAATGGTCTGTTCACTGGTGCCGTGGTGAGTGCACGCAGGCATTGTGGTGTACATTGGTGCTGTGTTGCACACGGCTGATGTGGTGTACGCAGGCGCTCTGGTGTACACAAGCGCTGTGGTGCAATGTGGCACTGTGGCACACACTGGCGCTGTGATGCGCGCGGCCGCTGTGTACGCAGGCGGTGTGGTGTACACAGGCACTGTTGTACACGCAAGCACTATGGTGTAAACAGGCGTTGTGGTGCAGATTCCTCTTACCTCTCCTCCTCCTCCGCCTCCTACTCCTGCTCCACCTTCTCACGACACTGAGGGACCCGACGCACTTTCGAAACCGTCTCGATCGCAGCTCTTGCAACCAAAGACTGCGCAATGATATGGCGGATCTCTGGGGCTCCACTTTTCCAAAGCGTCTCTGACAACACACAAACGGTGTTAGTACGGCTTGCGCTACAGATTAGACACGTCAACTCTCATCACACAACGTGCGAAAGCACGAGACTCCCAACACGCCTGTCTACCATGTGTGTCTCAGCGAACGCAAACCTTCGGTCTGCCTCGTGTCTACGGACCAGAACAGGTTCGAGCACGCGCAGACATGGACTCGTCTGCTGCCAAGCCTTGCCGAACCATTCTCGATTGTGGCCATGACCCGCATATGTTGCCCGACCCAGGACCCCCCCACGTCGCGACTTGTTTGCAACGCCGACCCCGACAATAAAGGGGCCTTGGGACACACATATAAATACACACAAATAAAATGATTCCCCATATTTTTTCATATTTTCTAAGTTTGTGGTTTCCTCCCCACTTCCCATGGTTTCCCATATTTTCCTGGGAATCGACGATTACTTGTGTCTGTGTGTTCCTTTCCCTCCTGAGACAAGTCCGGACCCCTTGCCCAAGATCGGTGTTTCATCCCAAATCGTTGTTGGCGGTCCCGGGGCTCGGCAAGGGCCCCGGAGGCCGAAAACAGCGGAAAACCTCCCGTCGTGCTTTCTGCTCACAACGCGAAGGGGTCTGGTCTGGGGACGGTGCCCGATCCCGGATGAACGATATCAGAGAAAGCACGATCCCGTACAGCTGGACCTAGGCCAGAAGAACATCCTTCTAGAACATGAGACCCTCCGCCAGCCAAAGCACACCAAACCCCAAGACCATTCGAGGGTACCCTCCCCCAGGATGCAAAATAACATCCAACAATCACGAAGAACATTAGGGTACCCTCCCCGAACCAGCCTCGATCTTACACCTCGGCCCGACTGTATACGATGTCCCGATCCAGCCATCGTGCTACCATAATGAACGCTGAATGCGGCACGGAAGGGCTGTGCTGGCCACGGCGAGTCTCGTCTTCGGGTCGGTTCCCCGACCGAGATCGAAGGAGCGGCCGAGAACCAGAGCCCCTCCCGACCCGAAGATGGTCCTCTTTTTGACGGCGCGCACAAGGGGGTAGGGGAAAGGGGGAGGCTTCTTAGAGTTGGGCTGTTCTCAGAAGGCGCCAGCTTTACATCTGTAGACAAGGCGCCTTCTAAGGAGCAGGGCTGCTTCTAAGAAGCCTCCCCCCTCCCCCTATCCGCGTTCTGCGCGTGGCCGATGATTTCAGCGCCTGACTGTATCGTGCAGCGAACGCTGGAGTCAAATCGTCGGCCGATCCCTCGCCTTTAACCGCCTCGCCTCGGGGGGGCACACCACTGGCTTGCGGCTACGGGCGACCGACGGTGCCCGACCTGAACGCACGAGATCGTGAAGGGGATGCTTACCACCAGTACCCCCTCGCATTGTGAAGAACTCTTGACGGGAGGCTGTTCACTACTTTCGGCCTCTGGGGGCCCTTACCAGGCCCGGGACAGTCACAAAACGACTCTGGATGAAAAACCAATCCCGGGGAACAGTTCCAAACCTTTGGGGGTCGACGTTGCAAAAAGACACGCGACGTCGGGGGTCTGGGCAAAGGTCCAGAGGCGCACGAGAGGACGACCAGAGACCCCCTCAACCAGAGGCTCCTCGATGTCCTTTTCAAAAACTGCGAGCTTAACGACTGCTGGAAAATGGATTCCGCGATGCCAGCCCGAAGTGGTCGAAATAATAAAGGATGATCAAGACGAGGAGGACCAGGACAACGACGAGGACGAGGAGGAAGGGGTAGAGGAGGAGGAGGAGGAGGAGGAGGAGGAGGAGGAAAAGGACGATGATGAGGAGGAGGAAGAGGAGGAGGAGGAAGAAGAGGAGGAGGACGAGGAGGAGGAGAACGAGGAGGAGAAGGAGAGGAAGGAGGAGGAGGAGATTGGGGGGGGGAGGGGGAGGCGGAGGGGGTGGAGGGGGGGGGGCGGGAGGGGGAGGAGGGCGGGAGGGAGAGGAGGAGGGGAAGGGGGAGGGGAGGAGGAGGAGGACGAGGAGGAGGATCAGGAGGAAGACGAGGAGGAGAAGGAGGAAGAGGAGGACGAGGAGGAGGACGAGGAGGAGGAGGAGCGACAGCAGGAGGAGCAGGAGGACGAGGAGAAGGAAAAATGAGGAGGAGGAGGAGGAGGAGGAGGAGGAGGGGCAGCAGCATGAGGACGGGGGGCGGCGGGAGGGGGAGGGGGGGGGAGGGGGAGTACGGCGAGCGCTCGCCTTGGGCCGCTTCGCCTCGGGGTCGGCGCCGCCCATGGACATGCGCAGGGCCTTCCGAGAGGGAGCTGCGAGGAGCACGGGAGCAGCCTAAGGAGCACGAGGGCGAGGACGAGGGCGAGGAACACGACGACGCGAGAAGCTGCGATCACATGTCGTCGTCGTACTCCCACCATCAACTAACGTGTCCCACCTCCCCCCCAGTCTTCCAGCTAGCAGAGGAGAGAAAGAAATGGAGAGAGAGAGAGAGAGAGAAAAAAAAAAAAGAGAGAGAGAGAGAGAGAAAACGAGAGAGAGAGAGAGAGATCGGACAAGCAGACGGGCGTCCCATCGCAGCCGGCTGCTGCGGCAGCCAGGGCCGGCAATGCACGCTTAGCGGTGGTGCCCACCTTGGGGTGCGGGGGACGTTGGAACAACCACGCCCCGGCGCAAGCGACTGAGGTGGAAGGGCGGCGTGCTGAGCAGGCGATGCGCCACGTCTCTCGGCGCCCCGCGGTGGAAGGGCCCAGGTCAGCAAAGCCACGGTTGGCGGCCAGGGGAGAAGGGCTCGGCCGCAAAGCGGCTTGCGGAAGCAGGGCGTCCCCCGTCCTCACAGCCAGGCGCCGATGACGCGAGGGAGACAGAGAGAGAGAGAGAGAGCGAACAAAAGAAACACGCCCAGCAATGATGGAAAGCGGGGGCGAGATATACAATCAATAGAGAAATAAGACGACAAGAAAAAGAGAGAGAGAGAGGAACAAGAGAGAGAGAGAGAGAGACACACACGAGAGCGAGGGAGGCAGAGGGAGAGAGAAAGAGAGAGAGAGAGGGAATATATACAAAGAGAAAGAGAAATAGAGAGAGAGAGAGAGACTGGGAGTACGAGAGAGAGAGGAAGAGAGAGAGAGAGATAAACAGAGAGAGAGAGAATAATAGAGGATGAGAGAGAGAGAGGAACTAGGACGAGAACGAGGACGAGAGGGAGCAGGAGGAGGAGGAGGAGGACGAGACGCGGAGAAGGAGGACGACGATGATTATGACGAGCAGGACGAGGATGGATGAGGATGAAGAGGAGGAGGAGGGAGGAGGGAGGAGGAGGAAGGCAGAGGAGGAGGAGGAGAAAGGGGAAGTCGAGGAGAAGGCGGAGGAATAGGGGTGAGCAGTGAGGAAGGCACGGCGAAGACACACAGGCCCTCTGGGCGCAGGTGGTCGCCAGTGGCTGGCAACCGCGCGCGGCGCACGCCCCCGGCCAGCCACGGAGAGGAGGCGGACGAGCCACGGGCGAGACCTGCGCTCGGCGGAGCCTCGGCTTGGACGGCCTGAGACTATGAAACTAATCTGTGGGGCCTGTTCCCCACCACCACCACCACAAGCTGAAGTGGGGAGGGGGAACTCCTCCCCCTCTTCTTCTTCCTCCTCCTCCACATCCTCCATCTCCTTCCCCCCTCCAACATCTGGTGGTGGTGATGTAAAACAAGCCCATCATCATTGTTCGGGTGCTGTGGGAGGCATGTCACTGTTGTGGCCCAGTGGACCTGGCAAGAATTTCGGAGTTTCGACATTGGGCGGAAGGGAGGGGAGGGGGTGGGTCTGGCTCCCGGCCTCTGCTTGGTGCGACTGTTTGCCAGAGTGCTGCCTCTGGGGAAGACCCCACCTGCTCGAAACAGGTGCCCAAAAACAGCCAAGATCTACTCCACGGGAGGGGGGGGGAGGAGGGGGTGCGAGGGCCCGCGCCGATCGGAAAAAGAATCAAAAACAAAAAACGCTCACCTATGAAACTAATTGTTCGGGTGCTCTGGGAGGCATGTCACTGTAGGGGCGCTGCCGTGGCCCAGAGAACCTGGCAAAGATTTGAAGGGTTTGAGCCTCCTGGGGGGGACCACGTCAGAGCTGCAGTGGGGCGTGGCCATGGTGCACTTGAACCCCGGGACCTGTGTGTCATCCTGAAGCGTTTTTTTGACGCCTCCTGGGCCTGGCAAGGGCCCCCGGTGGCCGAATGTATAGCGAAGTGCCTCCCGTCGAGAGTGTTCCACAACGCGAGGGAGTCTGTGGGGGGAGACCAAAAGGTACCGATACCGCTACTCCTCGGACCTCTCCCGGGGTGCGTTCTGACCAAGTTTTCGAGGCGAATCCAGCGGTGGCGACGAGAGCCGCCCAGGAGGCCCAAAAGGGGAAAACGAGGCAAGGGTAGAGGTATGGGTACCTTTTCCTCCTCCGAGAGTCTGGGTTCTGAAACGGAAACGTCCGAACGCTGAGGCCAGCGACTGGCGGCCCGCGGCGGCGGTGGCGGCTGCCGGCCTCTGCCAGCTCGGCGTCATCGTCCTCGTCCGCCGTCTCCGCCGCCGGCGCGCTCCCGGCCAGCGAGAGGCGCAGCGCCTGCGCGGGGACCCCTCCCCGCACTCCAGGGCTGAACCTAAACGTTGTTTTTCGTTTTCTTGTTCGTTTTGGTTTGTTTTCGTGTTGCTTTCGTTTTGTTTTCGTTAGCGGGGAGCTGGCCTTGCGTTTTGTGCTCGTTTTGTTACTCGTCTTGCTCTGCCTGTTTTCCTGTACCTCCCTGCCAAGAAGAAAAACATAACACAGCCGAAGTCCAGCAAAACAGCGTTTAGCTCCAGCCCTGCCGCACTCCCCCATCCTTTCCAGGTTCACTGCTTCGAGCGCGCGTTCATGATGAGACGTATTGGTCGCCGCGCTGACAACCTCCCTTCTTTACCCCTCGTGGGTTCGGGGTGGCGGGTGCGGAAAAAGGTTGTCTGCGCCATCCAGCCCAACCCCCAATGTGCGAAAACCGCGGGACGCTTCATCTGACGTTCGAGGACCGCTGGACAGCGCGGCATAGAGATACTGCCACCACACTGAGGCAACTGGGACCAAGTGGCCAACCGGCGCAGTCAATGAGCAAATCCGATTTCCGAAGCCGTAGGGGCATCAACTGCCACGTCTGTGCGCGGGTAGCTGACGGATCCGCGGGTGGCCGACGGAACCTGTTTCAAGACGCCCTGAGGATTCGCACGACCCAAGGGACTTCAACCGCCGCCACCAACCTGAACAAAAACCAAGCACCAAGACCAACGGAAGGGCAGTTGAGGGGGCACACTGTAGACTCAGCCTCTCCAACTCAACCATCTCCCACTCTACTCTACGCACTCCTCCTCCTTCTCCTCCTTCTCCTCCTCCTCCTCCTCCTCCTCCCCCTCCTCCTCTTCTTCCCCATCATCATCATCGTCATCCTCACCATCATCATCATCATCATCATCATCATCATCAGCAGCATCAGCATCAGCATCAGCATCATCATCATAATCGTCACCATCATCGTCACCAGCATCGTCAGCATCATCATCATCATCATCAACATCATCATCAAAATCATCATCATCACCGTCATCAGCATCATCATTATCAGCAACGTCGTCATCATCCTTCATTATACTCATGACAAGCACCAAGGCAACGGAAGGGCAGATAAGGGGACACACTGTAGACTCACCATCTTCAACTCCTCCACCTCCTCATCCTGCACATCCTCCTTCTACTCATAACCATGATCGCCATCACCAACGTCATCATTATCATCAGCATCATCATCCTCATCATCAGCACCATCATCATCATCCTCATCCTCATCCTCATCCTCATCATCATCATCATCATCATCATCATCGTCAGCAACATCATCATCATCATCGCCGACGTCGTCCTCGTCGGCATCATCATCATCATCATCATCACCACCATCATGATCATCATCAGCATGATCATCATCATGATCGTCATCATCATCGTCGTCGCCATAGGCATCAGTGTCATCATCATCACCAGTATCAACATCATCCGAAGCCTTTTCATCATTAGCGTAAGCATCATCAGAATCACCATCAGCATCTTCATCGTGATCATCACCAGCATCATCATCGTCATCAGCTCCATCATCAGCATCATCACCATCAACAACCTCATAAGCATGATCATCGCCATCAGAGCATAATCGTCACTACCATCATCATCCTCATGATCATCATCACAACCATCGTCCACAATGCAGCAGCATCATGTTCATCAGCAGCAACATCAGAAGAAACAGCATCAGCATCAGCGTCAGCGTCAGCATCAGCGTCAGCAGCACCATCATTATTATCAACAAAACCATCACAATCATCATCACCATCATCAGCAGCCGTAACCACCGTCAACATAGTCATCACCATCACCATCATCAAAACATCAATCACCAGCGTTATCGTCATCATCAGCATCCTCATCATCATCAACGTCGTCGCTATCGTCATCGTCACCATGCACAACATGATGGTCATCAGCATCCTCATCAACAGCAACATCATGATCATCATCATCATCATCATCATCACAATCAACACAACCATCATTCTCACCACCACCATTAGCATCGTGATCGTGATCACCATCGCCATCAGCATCACCATGAGCATCATCATCAGCACCATCATCACCAGAATCATCATCATCAGCATCACTTCCATCATCATCACAACCACCATGCTCATCATCATCATCATCATCATCATCATCATCATCATCATCAGCATCTGCATCATCATCATCATCATCATCATCGTGATTATAATCATCATCAGCATAATCATCAGTATCATCATTAACTCTGTCATCATTCCCCGCCTCCCCGTCCCACGACCAACCAGAATCGAAACAGCAAATCGGATTGGATTCGGATGCACGTCGGCTCGGGTTGTATCGACAGGGTGTCGAAACCGAATCGGATACGCTGCGCAAGTGTGCAAAACTGCGCCTTCCAAACGTCGGGCTGTATCCGATAGCTGGGAAATTGAAATCGAATCGTATCGATTCGAGCAAACTCTAAACGAAACTGCTCGATCGGTTTAGAATGGGCCCTGCCCCCTTCACCATTCTCATTCCTCCAGTGTCTCACCCGTCTGGTCTCCCCCACGTCACTCTACCCCCTCCCCCCTTCCTCCTAACCCTCCCTCCCCCTCCTCCTCCCGCTCCTTCTCCTCCTCCTCCGGTTCCTCTTCTTCCTCCTTCCTCCACATGCTCGCCATCGTCCTCCTCCTCGTTGACGCCTTTCGTCTTCAGCTTCGCTCGGAATGTCGAAGCTTCCTCCTCCTCCTCCTCCTCCTCCTCCTCCTCCTCCTCCACGTCATCATCATCACAACCACCACCACCACCACCATCATCATCATCATCATCATCATCATCATCATCATCATCATCATCGTCATCATCATCATCAGCAGCAGCAGCAGCAGCATCATCGTTATCATCATCAACATCATCATCATCGTCATCATCAGTATCATCATCATCATCAATATCATCATCAACATCATCATCACCATCCTCACCCTCATCCTCATCCTCAACCTGGTCATTCTCCTAACCGTCCTCATCGTTTCCCGCTTCCTCGTCCTCCTCCTCCTCCTCCTGATCTTCCACCATCCTCCTGCTCCGCCTCGTCTTTCTCCTCCTCCACCTCCTGCTCCTCCATTTCCTCCCTCCGCTATAAGAATACGCCTATATGTTTTGGATGACAACGCAACAAAATAACAACACGAGCGGAAACAATACTGCCACGGAACAAAGTGTTACCCTTTGGCCCCAGCGAGTGAATCTTGCCACGTGCTGTCACCCTGTGGCGTGAGCTGCCTCATAGAACAAGCATTGGGGAGGGAAGCAATACGTTTCTTTTGCCAAACAAAAGTAATACACCTCTGAGTGCACAGTGGCCGCGCCTGGGGGAAGCGGCTTTGCCCGGAAAAGGGGAGGCTTCTGCAGGCAGAAGCGTATGAAGCTGTACGACGACCTGCAGCTCCCCGCTGCAGCCAGACAAGGAAGCAGGACGTTGGGTGGGGGGGGACGGGAAGGACAAGGGGTGACAGATTGAGGCGTACACTCGTCAATGGCCGCGCTTCGACGGAGACCGGCGGACCTAGCCACGCATGAAGATTCCAAGCCACACACGGAGACACGATATAATTATCCTGACAATTTGCCAGCGCACTCCCACCTCCCTCGCACATTGTTTTTCACACCCGTGGATTGGAAGGCTGGTTCGTCCCAGTGGAACTTCTCGCTGCAACGTTGGCCATTTTTCCAGATCGGTGCCGTGCTCCAATCGCTCAGAACGGCACTCTCGCCTCGTATCTACATCCGGTCCTTTGCTCGGTGTGACCGCCCCACTCCTGTCCCGTCCTCCGCAGTCCCCTGATCAGCCTGTTCCTTCTCCTCTTCCTCTTCCTCCTCCTCCTGCTTCTCCTCCTCCTCGTCCTCCACCTCCTCTGGCAGCTCAACATCGGCCTCTGGACCACTCCCAGCGTCCAAACGCACCAGTTTTCCGAGCTGCATCCAGCCGTAGCGACGAGGGAGCCCCCCGAAGGCTGACTACTCGAGTAGGAGATCGGCTGCAGAATGAACTTGCCCCAACATTGACATCTTCGTCAGGTATTCAAACAAACGCAAAGGTGTTCGTAGTTATACAGGCATTATACACGTTTGTTCGTCAATTCCACGAACCAAATCAACTCTGGGGCAAAACTCAATTCCGGCATCGGTATCCTAATTACTCGAACTGCCAGTGCTCGGAACGCTACACGGACCGACAGCAACGTCCGGCAGCCCTGGAGAGCACGGCGGCCGCGTGCCGCCGCGGCCCACGGCGACGACGAGGCTCGGCAGCGAGCCGAGGGGAAGTGAGGAGAAAGCCTTCTAAGAAGGCTCGGAAGTCCCCGGCCTTTTGAAAAATCACTTCTCTGAAGGCGCGAGAAAGTTTCTGAGAAGCTTTTCCCTCTCATTCACCCCCCTCGTTCGCCGCCGAATCTGTTTTGGGGGTCATAACATGGGTCTCCGGCGGCCGTTCGGGACGATTCCGGCACCCCCGGAACGCTCTCGCCGAGGCGCAGCTGCCGGAACGCATCCGGGGGCTTGGAAACAGCCGAGTGCCGACGAAAGTTCCCGAAAACCTCGAGCCTCGAAGCTCGAGCGTCGGAGCCTCCTCCTTCTGGCTTCCCCACGCGTTCGCCGCCGATGGGGCGCACGGCGGAAACGGGCGCCGCCGCGGCCCGCGGCGATGCCGAGGCGGGCAACCTCCTCCTCCTCCTTCTCCTCCTCCTCCTCCTCCTCCTCCTCCTCCTCTCCTCCTCCTCCTCCACCTCCTCCTCCTCCTCCTCCACCTCCTCCTCCTCCTCCTCCTCGTCTCCTCCTGTTTAGGCCCTGGCCTCGGCCAGCTCCGCGTCCTCGTCGTCCTCCAT